TTTAAACTCAATCCAAAAGTGGGCATCTGATTCAATAAACATGTCTCAGACATAAAAGTACAAATAGCCAACAGACACAGGAAAAATGTCCACCTTCACAGACCATTGGAGAAATGCAAATAAAACAACACTGATATTCTATCTCACTCCAGAAAGAATGGCTATATTCAAGAAATCAACCAATAACAAATTCTGCCTAGGGTGTAGAGAAAAAGAAATACTTCATCATTGTTAGTAAGTATGTAAACTGGTACAACCACTGCGGAAATCAGTATGGAGATTCCTCAAAAAAATAAAAGTAGAAATTCTACTTGGCCCAGCCATTCCCCTTCTAGGCATCTTCCCAAAAGTGTTAAATATATCATATGTCAGTGATGTGTGCATCCTGTGTTCTTAGCAGCATAATTCATAATAGCTGAATCTTGGAAGCAGTCCGTAGCTCCATCAACAGATTAATAGATAAAGAAAACATGGTATTTATTCACAATGGAGTACTACTGTGCCATAAAAAGGATAAACTTGAGTCTTTTGTAGGAAAATGGATGCATCTTGAGACTATAATGTTAAGTTATGTAAATCAGACACACAAAGCTTAAATATCACATGGTTTCTCTTACATGAGAAGGGGCCGGGGATTTAGCTCAGTGTCGGGTTCATTCTTTGTGGTACATTCTCATTTATCTTCAGAACCACAGTTACACTGCCAAAGATGGCAGGTTCAATGTGATATACGTATGAGCATTAGTGGTCCAACATGATACACATGAGCATAAATGTAGCCTTAGGATCTTCAGAACCATCTAGTTACACTGCTAAAACTGGCAGGTCCAACATGATATACATTTGAGCATAAATATAGCTTTAGGATCATGTGTAAATTGTGACTTCTCCAATTTTCTGGTTCATTCTTCAATACCCATGGTCACCTCATGTCTTTCAACCTCAATCCCAATAGAAATTCATTTATAAAACAATTCACTACTCATAAAAGCTAATTTACTTCAGCCAGGTTGAATCAAAAAAGTTATGCCAATTTAACCACATGTAGTATGTCATTTGGATACTGTGTAACAAACATTGTTGTGCTCACAAACACTACTCAATTTAAACTTCACTAAAAATTTGAGGTAGGTACTGTCATTTCTTTTTCACTAATGAAACACAAGCAAAGGAGTTTAGAATCTTGTTTAAAGTTTCATACTCACAAGTGACAAGAGCAAAATACAAGCTCAGCCAATGTAATTCCCATGCCCTCCTTTTGGATATTACCTAACACTTTAAGCAGAAAGACATAAGTAGCTCACTACAGGGTGGCTACAAACAGGAAGAGCTATTTCTAACTATAAACTACTCATAATCCAAACTTTCTTGATGAAAACATACTTCTTATAAAAGAGGTTAAGGTTACATATAATGAAAAAAGAACAAGTTTAGAAATCAAGTGACTTTGGTCTAGGTTCGCCTCACCTACTTTTGCACTGTGACACTGAGCAAGTCATTTTCTCAGGGCTTTAAGTACCTCATTTTTAGTGTGTTCATTTATATATATAAGTCTAATCACTCTAATGGAAATCACAGAGCTAATACTCTCATACAAAAAAAAGTCCATTGGAATCTAACTGAAGTTAAGGAGTAAAATCATTATGCAAATGGAGCTATCTGCATAATAACAGATTTTTGGAATCTAACTGAAGTTAGGGAGTAAAATCATTATGCAAATGGAGCTATCTGCATAATAACAGATTTTTAAGCCTCCAGCACTAGTGCCAACTGTCCTTTGGGAGTGGAGAAAGGGCAAAATAGCCCAGAATCATAGGTCCCACATCTGTTCCTCCAGTCTCATATAATGGAGCCAGCCTTCCTGAGATATTTTAAGAATCATTCATTAGTGAAAAAAAATCCAAAAGGAAAAGGCTGGGGTGGGGGGGGGGGGTGTTTATAGACCTTGGAAATATATCCAATGGTTTCTTTTAATAGTATTATAAAAGTGGGGTCTACTCAAAGTTTATTTCTCTCAAACCACCCTCTTTCACATTCTTCCACACTTTCATAAAAACTAAATTTTGTCTTCCTACCTGCAAAATTTGCTTCAGACTTTTCTTCCTTACCATTGAGTCCCCAAAGAAGTGACGGTTCTCCCTAAGTTGTTAGCTACCTGCAAAGCTGCTAAAATCCAACTTTGTTTCCCTCCTATTTTGCATTACCATCTCTCTTTAATCACTTACCCTTAGGCCTTCAAATGATTAGGGGGCTTTTTTGTTGTTGTTTTTTGTTTTTGGTACCAGGATTGAACCTTGCTTTCAAGGCAGGTGGCAGCACCACTGAGCTAAACTGGCCCATGATTAGGTTTTTTGATCTAGCACTCTAGACAGGAATTGGAATTTTGATCTAGTACACACAGAATGCACAGTGGAGTGTGGCAGGAAAAGATTACTGAGAATGCTATCAGTGAGAGAAAGACTGTGACAAACCCAAAAAACAATGGCCATAAAAAGCCCTCAAAAATTTACATTTACCAAGACAAGTGAAATAATAGAGGCAAGTGGAGTTAAAGGTATGGGACATAGTCACATTGTTCTTCAATCACCCTGCAACTGTCATGGTGTTCCATTTGGTGTAATCCCTAGGAATAGTCTTTCAATTCATTGTCCTCACCTCCTTAGCTAGTGATAGGTCTCCCACCACCTCAGCAGCTATTATGTATAGTAGCTGCCCTCTTCCTATGGTGCCTTGCCCCCTCCCCTGTGTGACATCATGCCAAGATGGTTGCTCCCACAAAAGAATAAACCCTTCTTCCCAGCATGCCCCTGTTCCCGCCTAGAGAGTAACCTAATACTCGCTCACCTCCTACCACTTAGTGACATCACCGGCTCCTCCATTCCCTAGTCACTACCTCACTCAACCCCACCTCAGCCCCTACAAACTCCACCCCAGTCTCTATAAAAGACTCTCCCTGCCCCGGCCATATTGTTTTTGTCTTTCCTTTGTTCAGAGACAGCCTGGCAGATCTATTCCCCTAATAAAGGCTTGTTGTGGCCTGGTCTGGTCTTGGTCTTTGGACCTTTTACCTGACAGCTAGCACCACTTCTACCAACCTATTCAATTTTATTTACTTTTGCTGTGCCAGTGATTAAATCCAGGGGTTCCTTCACACATGCTAGGTAGGTGCTCTGTGGCTGAGCTACATCACCAGCTAGCCTATTTTTAAAAACTAAAATTCTGTCCTGAGAGGATTTCACAGGCTGGCCCCAAATTTGCAGGCCTCTCACCTCAGCCCAAGTAGCCATGATTACAGGCATACAACACCATGCCCAGATTTGCCTATCCATTCAGTGAACACAATGGCTGGCTCAATTTTAGAACATTTAAATTATGCAAATTTCTATTTGAAATAATATGCAGGTTGCCTAAGTCTACTACAGCCAGTAACATCTCTTCCGATGGAATGTAGAGGAAGAAAGGGAACTTCTCAAGACCAATGGCAGAATAGTAAATTGAGAGGAGGCATGAGTTCTGTGGATGTGGCTTGGCTTGCCACAAAACAGGTATAACTACAAACACACAGTGATCATCCCACATTCACCCTCCATAGGAAATAAGAAAAATACATACTAACAAGTGCTTTTGAGGTAGAAGAAATAAAAACTAGGTAGAAAGGAGACTAAGAAGTCAAGATTTTAAAATTGCACTGAAGTGCAGCTTCAAGACATAGAACTTACTCAAGCCTTGTTCCCTTCCAGGGAATTCACTCCACACACACACAAAAAAACCCTAATGGTCTTAAAGACAAGCCTGTAAATGTGGCTCTGGACCTGTCCTTTTCTCCTGAAAATTGTGCTTTCTGCACCCCAAGAAAACAGCAATATTGGTGGGCAACATATCTCAACTTCAAATATATGCAGACAGCTTGCATTGTAACCCTACAGTAACACACATCCCAGATCACTCATCTTTTTTCTTTTTTTCCTGGTACCAGGGAACAAACTCGGGACCTTTTGCTTGTGAGGCAGCTGCCAGAACCACTGAGTTAAATCCCCAGCCCTAGATCACTCATCTTTAAGACATCGCGTTAAATATACTCACTTCTCGCTTATAATGGGCCTCATTTCTCTGAATGCCCACTTTTGAGTATGTCCTGAAATCTCTATAAACCCTTTTTATATCTCTTACTGATGCATCCTGAAAAGTTTTTCCACGGCAGGAGTCAGCAAACCTGCAAACATTCTACAAGGGTTATTTCAGCCTCCTGGACCCTTAGATCCAGCCCAGTAACAGTTGGGGGTATTTTCAAAATATTTGTGCTATCCCTACAAAATTGCCTTTCTGCCCGTTCCTTGTTGACCATAAAATTATTTTACCACCTCAAACTCTTCATTCTTAATGAAATTTAGCTGTAACAAATAAGACAAGTTTCTATACATCAGTGCCCCCCCCTCCTCCCACCAGGGATCGAACTCAGAACCTTGAGTTTGCAAGGCAGGCCCAGTGCCACTAAGCTAAATCCCCAGTGCCTCTAGGTATCACTTTTAAAGAACATATACTGAATAATCACCTGGCCCATAATAGCTTAAGGCTTTTTTTCCAAAAACAATAGTTGTCAGTCAAAAAAAAAAGTGAATATGTTGTAAATAGGGCACTGCACAGGTTCATACGCATACAGGTTACCACTATTTAGTAGTTAATTAATTCAGAATTCTAGAAACATCAAAGGGCCCTTCTCCTAGTCAAGGACTAGGCCTGTTATTTCTTTAATTACATGGATTTCTCTGACAATGCTTATTAATTCCCACAACTTTGCAGTTTATTTATGCTTACTAATATCCTACTCTCCATCAATGCTCTTTTGCTTCTCACTTTTTATTAGGTTTGTGCTCTTAGTATCTTTGACAAAAATTATTTCCCCTATCAAGATGATTACAGCATTTTAAAAAATAGAAAAAAGAAAAAATAGGTTAATTAGCGTATTGACAGACAAGTTAGAAATTGTCACATGGAAACAGTTTTCAAAATGAAACACTTTATTTTACAGTGGACAATACACTTCCAAATTTGTCTCAGTTGTGACAAGTAAATGGCTTTACATTGCATTTTGGTGGTCACTGATGCTGAGCAAGTTTCTTGAAGCATCAAAACACTCAAGACTCAACAGAGTAACAGAGTCTGTATTGTACATCAGTTCACAAGTTCAAAGTGTCTTCCATTCTACCATTTTCATGTAGATTCCCTTTGTGGTGGAAAGGTAGAGATAAACTAATTTCCTCTAAAACAGATTTGTTCACAATTTCATTAACATGACAAAAGCAGACAATGAGTGCACATTCTCTCCTTGTTTAATCAGTAGTGGCAGAAACTGTTGAAAGGAAGGCTTTCAGTTACTTTCTCATTTCTATTTTCCAGTCAGTTAGGCAACCCCCACCCCATTTGAAGAAAGAGGTGTGCCTGGTCCCAGCCGAGATCATACTTTAAAATATTTTTAATATTTCAGCTCTGATACTTAACTGAAAATGTACAATGTGAAAACTAAAAATTTCACCCCCAAACCCTCTTTAACCTTGCTCTGTCCACCAGCTATCCTTTGCCATTTATCTATTTCCTTCTCCATTTATGGATGTCATTCTTGGCTTGCCATGCAAACTACAGTTTAGATTCTTTGAAAGTATGTAAGAACTACAATGATCAATAAGGTCTTCTTATTTTGCAGTACAATTCTGACTTCTGTTTTAAGACAACCTTATGATACATGAGTCACACTGATTCAACTAAGTCCATTCTTATCTAACCCAAGGCTTAGGTGGCAACCATTTGGACAAAAGTAATTATTTCTCAAAAGTGTAACAAATCAGTACCTCATCTCAACAATGATCAGTTTTTGAATTCCATTCAACTAAAAACAAAGCAACCTCAATTTAGACCTTGAGCTAGTAATACTCTTAAGACCAATCTAGAACAAAGTTTGCCCTTTGACAGAGGTTTGACCTTTTCCTTCACTCTTCCTCCTGTCCCACCCTCTGTGAGTGATAGCAAAATAGAAAAGATCAAAGCCCAGTCAAGCATGCATTTAGAGGCTATTTTTTCCTCCAAATTTGGTCACTTATTCCCAATTTTTATTTTACTATTCGTAAAACTTAAGCAAGCTTGGTAAATTTTTCAGCTATTTTCATCCACTGATACTATTTTATCATAACAAGCCCTGGAGTATATTTTAATGGCAAGGAGAACATTTCTACAGTATAAATTGAGAAGCTGTTGCAAGAGAAATCATGCCTCTATCTCAATTCTACTTATGTGCTATCTGAACTTTGTTTTGGGGAGAGATCTATTGAGGCAGTGTATACACACCAGCATATAAAGAACTGAAAATAGACAAAACTTGTAAATGCATTTCAAAACCAATTTTGGCTTAAGAATGGGTGGTTTCCAAAGAGACCGGGGTTTGGGAACTTTGGCTGTCATCCCTCCTGCCATCACTGGTCGTTTTACATGAGGCAAAGGCTAAGAAAAATTGTCTATTATATGGAGGGTTCCAGCAACTTAAGAAACAAGTTTCCCTCAAAAATCAGCTACCTGCTCATCGTAGTGGCCAGAGTGGTAGAGGAAATATTAAGTAGGAATTAAACTACATAATGTCATTTAGGGGCCAAGCCATGCCCATAACCAGAAAACAGGCCCAAAAGGAAAGTCTTAAATGTTCTCTGGGAAGGCATGAATTTTTTTCCTGTCTCTGGGGCCAGGTGAGGACCTAAGAACCTTATATTCAATAGGTACCCAAATATACTTGTAGAGTGGATGAATAAATAAATCAACGGTCACTTTCATTCTATAGTCTAATCTCTAAGCCAACTAATAAGCAAGTGTCATTCAGCCAAGATCTTTTTTTTTCTGTCCAGGAGTAACACAACTGCTTGACATTATAAACAGTGCTCATTTAGTCCCTCCCCAAGTCAGACTAGGTGTCTTTTGGAACAGATTTATTTCATTTAATATTTAGCATCATCTTAGCAATACTTGTATGAATGAAAAATTGAAACTCCTCTTAATCCCATTCTACCAAGCATGCCAACAAGGTGGTCTATTTATTTCATCATACCATTTCAGTGTCTTACATATTAAAGCTGTTTAATAAACATTTTTTTAACTAAAAGAAATCTAATTTCTCATTATGTCATGTTTCCATCATTAAGCTACAGAGATAAAAGTGCATTTTGGCTTTGGCTTTAAAATTAGTTCATTTTCCTCAGCACTTAATAACAGCACTTTATTAAGATTTAATAAAATTTTAACTAAATATAATAAATGTGAAAACTTTTTTTACTGCTCAAATGTCTTCCTGACTGAGTCAGGGAATGAGCAAAGGCTTTATAAAACCAGTTATTTCATCTTGATTCTCCTCAAACCTTTTAACTTTAGAACAATGAGTAAGTGCCTTTTGTGACTTTCTGGAGCTAGGACAGGTGCCTCCATTTTATATTGAATGAGTATTTTCTTTTCTCTTTTTTCCAATATCCAAGTCAAGTCAATGGGTCTTCTTTAACAGACCTACTTAATAAATTTATCAAGCAACCTTGAAGCAGATAGTCAAATATTATTTACTCAACAATCAAATTAAAGGTGTTTTCTGTCTTCAGCTGTGATCAGTGATCTTATGCCCTTTATCTTAGGTCCACTTTACCTCTTTCATATTTAGGACCTAGAAGGCACAGACCACAAAAACGATGCTTTATCAGATGAATTTAAAACAAACAGTCCCTTATTTTCACTTACTGTCTCTAAGCCAGGCCAGGGTGGTTCTAATTTACCTTCATCAGCAGCACTCAACATTTAAGAAACTGAATGGAAAATCATAGCACCTTGATTTTTAAAAAAAAATTTCCACCTTTTCAATCAAGCCAGATGGCAAAAAAACTTCTAGAAATGATTTTATTCTTCTACTTAGCTCAGCATTTACCACACTGCCATACACAAATCCATTTTCTTCCCGACTTCATCGCTGAGTAAGTGTAGGAGTGGTTAAGTAGACTTTTGGTCTGGGTCTCACACCTATTATTTCATTTTCTCTCCTGTGAGCACTCTGTAGTAATAAAATCATTTTTACATCCTGAGGCATGCAGTTCTAAACCTCACAGAAAGCAGTCATGTTCACTGATTAAGTCGGCAGTTAATTCCAAATTGTATAGGCCTTATAAATTCACACACAGATCTGTGTTGCAGGTTCAATAATAAAAATAAATTTTAATGCTCCCAGATGCTATCTCTGGGGATAATAGTAAATAATCGCCATTATTCATCAGATATTGTTTATAAATGAATGGCAGTTAAGTTATAAATTGATTTTATACATAATTTCTACTGTTTCCCAGGATATAATAGATAGTTTATCTTTGCATTCTCAATGCCTATCAAGGACTCTGGTACATAATAGATATAACAGACCATCCATGCTTGTATTCATCATTGAATGCCTTACACATTATAGTGAATGTTCAACAGCTAACAATTCTGAAACATTTTAGTTTTATTTGCATCATAAAATAGCTGTAATACAATTTCATAAACCTAGCATTTAGCACCAAAGGACAAAGTCAATAGCTACATTTATATGGTGCTTTAAAGTTCACAGAACACTAAGACATGTATTGCTTATTCTCAGCTATAGGCACAATGAAATATGATAAACCTGTGTATATCTTCAGTGCCCATAACAGTGGGTTCACTGTGGAGAATCAACACTGATTCATTCATTGATTCTCAGTTTTTTGTTCTCAGTCTTCAGTTTTCTGTTTTTTTGGGTTTTTTCCTTGATGTTGTTGCTGTTGTGACAAGGTCTCGCTATGTTTCCCAGGCTGGCCTCAAATTCCTGGAATCAAGTGATCCTGGCTCAGCCTCTCAAGTGCTGGAACTAGATGTATCCACCACTGCACCTGGATGATATAAGTACTTATAGTACTCCTCTCATTGTGGGTCCAGTATACAATGAGAATCTTATAGAGAGAAAGCCTATTTTACAAGGAGGTTTTAGTCATACAGAAACATTTAACGTCTTTCATAGCACTTTATAGTATACAGAGCACACTCATATTCCCTTTTCTCTGTCGCGAGGAAAAATATACTGGCATCAATTTAATTGACTTCACCAGTAAATTCCTGACTGATTAAATTCAGTTGTGTTCTCCTTCATTATATCTAAATAATACAGAGCATAAGCTTTCATCTTATTATGTGGGAGAATCGATAGAATTTATCTTGGATTTTATGTACCCAAACACACCTGGTACGTGTTGAGGCAGTTAATACTCATTCATTCATAAACAAGTAACCCACTGTTATTTGTACAGTGCTTTCATTTATAATGTACTTTAATATGCACTTCCTTTCTGAAACTTTTTATGAGAATCTTTGTCCCTTTGCTATTTTGATTACCTAGCATGATATCTGTAACATTAGAGGTGAACACAATGGCTTAGAATACCTTGCATTTGCAGTATATTTTCTAGTTTAAAAGCAGTTTTCATGTCTTGTTTTCTGCTACCTGAAATCACCAGAGCATTAGAAACACACTGGTCTCAAATACACACATTATTCACTTATTGAACACTTATTATGTCTACATAGCTTTATATTCTTTTGACAAAGCATTTTTATTTATGCTTCTTTTAATCTTTATATCTACAGAGCATAACACAGTAGAATGTATGATATATAGTTAAATTCATTTATCAACACTTAAAATTCCCAAGTTTTTATGTGCTTTATAGTTTACAAAGCACACTCATATATTTTTCTACAAGTCACCTGGATTTGATTACAAATAATCACTGCATGCTAGTGCCTGAACAGGGACAGGCACCAAGAAGGAAATCAATATTATTTGAATAAATTCTGTCCTTTACATCAGGGGTTCTTAAATTATGGGTAGCAGGCCAAACCCACTTAGCTCACAAACTAAATGGCTCTTATCTCTTTAAAAGGCTAAGACTATTCAACAGACACAAGATGGCCCGCAAAATCTAATTTATAATCTTGACCTCTAAAACAGAAAAAAATGTAATGATCCCTGGTAATACTTTACAGGTTACACTGTACTTTCAAATATTAGCTGTGCCTTATTGCCGGTATTGTATTAATGAGCACACCATACTTTTTTCTCTTGTTGTTTATACTTTCATACATATTATCAATCACTTATATCAACTTCCCTCATAAAAGGGGTGGGGATATCAAGGAAAAGATTAAACTTGCTACCCAACAGGTTCTCTCATCAAGTCTAGAGATAGGTGTTAAACCCAGGAGTATGTTTGGCACAGTGCCTCAAATTATTTGGCCACTACTATGAGCAGGGAGTTCAAACCTCACTCTGTCCCAGGCCTGATCACCCTTTCAGTAACCATTACTAGAAATTACAGGAATCCTGCTCACCTAAGCTCAAAGAGGATGGTGATGTTGGCTGGTGCTTCTCAGAAGGCTGGTACATCTGTCTACTTCTTGTCTAATTATTCTCATTATCTTCAAGTATTTCTTCACATTATTTCTAGATGGCCTGGTACACTTTCCCTAAACAACTCAAATGTTTTGCTCTTTCATCTGCTAGGGCTTTTGAGGTGGAAAACACTGAAAAATATCTAAATGGATGCTTGCTTTTGAGTGAAGTAACAAAAGCTTGAATAGATAGCAACTGGATTTTGGTATCTCTCTCAAGTTGTGTACATATATATATATATATATATACACATACACACACACACATATATATATATATATAGGAAGTCTATAAAACATTAAAACCTTAATGAATAGCTAAAAATTATGATTAAAAATAGGCTCAAGATTGGTCCATCCATAATATTGTCAATCTAAACATATGTTCCTTTAAGGTAAATGGCAGCATCAAAAAACACATCTCAAAAGAAGCAGGTTTAAATGGAAATAAGAGAACTGGAAGGGGGGAACTAAATATGTCCAAGAGTAAGAGGTATAACAATAGAAAAGAGCTCAGATTTACAGTTCTCATCTTGGTACTTCTCTGGTCTTGGGGTTTCTACTTCCTGAGTTCAGAGTCACAGTCCTCCAGTTTCTAGCCTTTAGCCTTGAAGACTTTCTGTCCATGTACAAAGGCTTGATTCCTGGGTCTTATTTGGGTCTGGGGTTTTCTATCCTTGGCTTTTAGGTCTATGATAGTGGGCTTAGGTCAGTTCTTAGGCCTTGTGTTAGGTCCCAATTCTTGAGCATTCCATGTGTCCTGTAGAAACAACCCTTCTTATCCTGGGTCTCTGGCCTTCTAACTCAAGGCTTAAATCCTCCATCAAACTGAGGGCACCACCTTCTGTATCTCATGGCTTTTGAGGTTTCTGATGGTGTCAGGCCTGAGATGTCCACCTATCTTGGGACATGGCCTTTTCATGCTGCTTATCAAGTCTCAAACCATCTGTCTTCCATTTGAAGCCTTGTACTTTCTGCTCCTCCTTAGGCCTTGCATTTTACTTCAATCCCGATCCCAGCGATGTATTTTAGTGTAAGATCATTCTCACAGGACAGCCTGGCATATGGAACAGCTCTGCAATGCTTATTTTGATAGCCGACATTCTGCATCTATTGGAAAGGGGTTAGGAAGCCCCTCTGCTACACAAAGTACAAACACATACATGCATATATGGCCACAAAAACAAACAAATATCCAAGAGAGGATTACATGAAAGCAAAAAGCAGACATATACTCAAGAAGAGGCTGAAATACTCAAAGGTGAGTAGAAAAGGGAAAAGAAAAAGCAAAAAAGTAACATAAGCAATCAGAGACACTAATGCTGAAATAGAAAATCACAAGCAGCAGAGACACTGAGATATACAAAGGAGGAAAAAGAAAGGCAGAAAGGAAATGTAGAAAAGAAAAATGTTAATAGAAATAGCAGAAAGGAGGCCAGAATCAGAAAAAGCTGAAATGTCAAATGAAGAGAAAAGGACAGAATGACAATCACAATTCACAAAGAGAAAAAGAAGCAAGGTAGGATCAGTAAGAAAAATGCAAGAAAAACACACACCATGTGACCAAAGAGGAGACATAAAAGGAGTAAGTGAAAGAAGAGCCAGATCCAGGAGAGCAAAGAGAAACAATCAACAAAATGAGAAAATAAAAAAAAAAAGAGAGAGAGACACACATCTAAGACAAGGTACAGAACACAGGAACAAAAAGAGAAAATGAGAAAAAGGCACACACAGGAAATTAGCAAGACAAATATGGAAATGGGTAAGAAGACACACGCAAGGTAGAGAAGAGCAAAGAGATTCAAGGAAGAAATAGACAAACAGAGAAATACACATTTATGACTAAAAGAGATAAGCAAAGGCAGACATAAAAAGAAAAGCAAGAGACAAGATAAAGTGACATAAGAGACACAAAAAGAAGATGACAAAAGGAAATAAAAAATTGCAGTTAATAACTACAATGAATGATTAATACTACTACCAATAATAATACATAATAATATATATTAATACCAACAATACAGGTGCACTTCTACTTATAAACTTTTAGTTTGAGGATTTCATACATAGAATTAAAACATTCCACCTGCCACCCGAGACTGTCAGTGGCCACTTGTATTGTGTCAAAGGAACTTATGAAAACTCCTTGGGTTATCTTTTATTTGCCACATACCAGGCACTGCACTAAGCATTTTACATTCAGGATTTCATTTAACCCTCATTATCAGACAAATCTAATTAGAAACTCTAAACTGTCAAAAGTCATGTACCTAATGAGTATCAAAAAGGATTAAAACACAAAATATGTATTTTTTAACACTCTACTACAACTATTTACAAATATTTCCATAAAAGCCAAATGAGATTTCAGAGATGAGTGAATATTTTAATAAAGGGCTCTTATTCAATCCTATCATTTTTTGGAGTCACCTTTCCCTATCGCTTTAGGAAACTGACTTGGTTTTTATACCCTTCACAATTAAAATGTCTGTTTCAGGATCTAATTTCCTTTTCACATTAAATCTTAACTACAAATAGATTCTCTCACAAAGAGAGATGAAAAAAGAGCCATGCTTTCAATAGAAAGCAAAGACTATCTTTGACTTTTCAATGTTTAAGACTCTAAGAATAGCAGAGAACTTAATACAATAAAGATGCACAATAGGACAAATACAAGCTAAATTTCTCTGTGATACAACTGTTAGGCAGACTGTAATATCTTTCAGTTGCTTCAGAAAACCCAGCTGGTAATATGGGAGACTAGTCATCTTCCCATCTCATAGCTGGCCTTGCTTCATGTTAGACTATCATACTCCATATAATACCAACTCCCAACAGCTACAGGATTGCAACATCAACAACTTACTTCATTCTGCTATTCTAAAATGTTATAGTACAAGGCATGTTCATCTTCAGATAGGAGAGGTGGCTTTCTTTGGTGTGTTCACATTTCTTGCTTCTGAAGACCTACCGGTTCCACTGCTTTTGTAAAGGATAATGATTTAACAGATATGAAGGGAACAAACAGGAGCTACAAAAAATGAGAAGAAACCATGTAAATGTTACACAAGAAGTCTTGAGTTCTATGCTACAGTTATAAAAGATTCAAGTTAGTGAACTATTAAAAAATGCTTCCACAGAGTGTAAGAAAACCATAAAGTTGAAGCTTTTAAGTCCTTAGATACAATGAATAAAATATCCTCACTCAATAGAATAAGAAACTATGGCATATATGGGAAAATGTCCATCACTGAAGACTTAATGAGTCACTGGAGGGACCATCACCAGTCACAAACTTATAACTTAAATTGAAGACTGGAATCTTGTTTAAAATGCCAATCAGCTAGGAAGGAGTCCCTTTAAATGATTAATAACTGAGATCACAAAAATAAACACAAAGGTAAAAAGAGAATATGGTCTAAGAACACAATCCAAGTTAGCAGTATTTTTTTCTTGGCTTTTTGAGACTGGGTCTTGTTAGTGGTTCAGGCTGGCTTTGAACTGACTATGTAGCCCAGGAGGGCCTTGAACTCGCAGTGATCCTCCTGCCTCAGCCTCCAGAGAGCCGGAATTACAGGCACATGTGCCACCATGCCTGACTAAGCTTTATTTAAGCAAATAAATACTGCTCAGAACAAAAGACAACATGGAGCAGCACGTCTGAAACTCTGAGACAAAGCTGAGTTGCTGGGAGGAAGTCATTCTCCCAATGAGAAAATCTACACAGGGTAATGGCCTTAACATTCTGAGTACAGCAGATAGATCTTCCTAGACAACTCTCACATTAACTTTCTAGTTACTAGACTTTCTAACAAGTTGTTAGTGACTTTCCCTATTTCTAAATCCATGAGTCTTTCTAGTCGATTATAACATTTTAAAAACTCCTCCTATGAAAACATCTCATGGAATTTATAGGGTACTCATTCTTTTCGAAGAATATTAGGCAATGCCTATACAATAAGGGTTTACTACACTAGACAGTCACATTCATCTCCCAACCCTCACTTCCCTCATCAGCTCATCCCATCACTGACCTACAGAATGCAAGGTCCTAGTTCTCTAGACTTCACCTGATGATAACTTTGGGGCATTTTTTCCCAGGTTTCCATTTGTAGTAATGAAGCTTCCACCAATCAGCAAGGACAATATGAAAAGACACAAGTCTCATTTATCTTCTCAAATAGCTTATTGGGGGTTATAACCCATGGACATTACAAGGCATCTTAAATATATAAATGACTGACAAAATTCTCCTGTGAGGCTTCAAGGAAAACTTTGAGGACCAGGTGAAACAGAATGATTTGCTCATGAATCACTGTTGATGTTGGCAGTGGTCCATGTTCTCCTAAAAGAGAGAACAATTTAGTAGGCCTCTCAACATCCTACAGTTCTACGTTAAACATCCTAACTCATGAAGCCTGCTGACTTCACATCATCACTTTTACCAATCTCACACTCAATTACTTTCAAGTTAGGAAGCTGTTTTCATCAAAGCAGACATAAGAAAATGGTGAGTGAATACAACCTCAGTGGAAAACTAACTGAAATGTCTATCAGAAAACAAGATCAAACTTAAGACTTACTATGCTGTTAAGGATAGCTTACCTAACTTGATGTGTGCTGGTTGTCTTTGAATCTTCATCTTCCTATCTGAGTACAGGAAGGTCAGGAAAACCTCCTGACCTAGGGTTGTTGCCCAGTGATAGTGAGCTTTTCCCCTGGAGGATCCTCATGCCCCATCTCCACCTAGAGATCATCAAAGGGAATAGGTCACTAGCACTGTAAAGCAACAAGCCCATTCTCCCAAGGAAGATCTGAAAAAGAGACAAAAAAATGAATGAATGGATTAATTAATTAATTTTAAAATCAACTACACCGGCAAACTCTGTCCCAATGGGTAAATAATGGTTGAGGTAAATCATACCTAAACTTTTCTTTGTAAGTATTGAAGGGCAGACACTTATTACTATATTCACCTCTACAAGATGGGATCAAAACTGCTATATTTACCTCTACATGATGAATATTTAAATTTTTAAAAATTTATTATAGTAAAAGGTAGGTTATTAATTCCCTGAAATTACTCCCCCTCACTTTGCACATACCCATCCCATCCTTTTTGCCACTTTCTGAAGCAGTTCTGAAAGTTCTCTTTCCTGAGTATCTTTATAAGGTGTGATAAAAAATATGGTGAATTCCGATGCTCAGTGCTATCCAACAGAAAGGCAGGGTTGTAAAAATATGACCATGTGTCCTTATTCATCAGATCTGGTACCATGTGACTTCTGGCTCTTCCCTGAAGTCAAAATGACCATGAAAGGTAAATGTTTTAAATCAATTCAGAATAAAGCACAGCACAACTAAAGATACAAAAGAAGACTTCCATAATAGCTTCAGAATGTAGCAAGAGTTGCAGAATATAGAGCGAGGCATGGTGATGCACACCTGTAATCCCAGCACTCAGAGGAGACTGATACAGGAGAACTGCTGTGAGCCAGATCACTTTGGGATACATAGTAAATTGGAGGCCAACCTAAACTAAACAGCAAGACCCTGTCTCAAAAAAAGCAAAACACAAACAAAAATAACAACAAAAAAAGAATGACTAGGAATCAGCCCGCTGCAGGACAGGCAGGTCTGCGCAAGCCCTACCGAGGTCCTGAGTCCCGCGGAAGACGCCGAATCACCCCGCTGCAGACAGGCAGGTCTGCCCATACCCTACCTAGGTGCTGAGTAGCACAGAACACGCCGAATTAGCCCGTTTCAGGCAGGCTGGTCTGTGCACACCCTAAGGAGGTCCTGAGTCTCGCGGAAGACACCAAATCACCCGCTGCAGACAGGCAGGCCTGCCCACACCATACCGAGGTCCCCAGTCTCACGGAACACACACCAAATCAGCCTGCTGCAGACAGGCAGGTCTGTGCACGCCCTACCGAGGTCCTGAGTCACGCGGAAGACACCGAAACACCCCGCTACAGACAGGGAGCCAACTGATTGCACACTACAAAGACGCAGAGGACACCAGACCACCAGACCAAGGTACTGAGTCCCACTGTTCCCGGCCCAGAGGTAGGGGCTTTTGAGCCATCGTCCCACTGCTCCTGGTGCAGAGGAAGGGGCTTCCCGGTCACCATCCCTCCCGCTGCTCCCAGACCAGAGGAAAGGGCTTTT